TATTAGTGATCAGGAAATCAGACGCTTAGCAGACCTAAGTTATCTAACCAAAGCAATGGTGAAGGAAAGGCTGTAGGCCAGGAGCAGGTAGAATACCATTTTAATTGCACATGATAACTTTCCTTCAAAGTTCCAGAGAGCATTTCATCTGCCAGCAGCAACAAGAAGTCTATGGTTCCCAGGGATCTCTCAGTCCCAGGGAGAGGCAATCACAAGTGAAACTGATAAGGAAAATAAGTAAGAGAGTCTCTCACCAAGACAATTTCTTCAGGTGGGAACAACATCCAAATTCCCCATATCTGTGCCCCTATTGCATGTTCTTATTAATAACTGCATGTATCCTAACAACAACAGGATGTTATTCTAAAAACCACATCTTATTTTTAATCTTCTGATAGATAAAAATTTAAATGACTGACTCCTTATGAAATACCCAACTATCTCAGTTCCCCTCAACTTATATAATCAAATGTTTTCTTTCCAGCCTCTTATTCTATGCTGCTAACATCTGCATGTAAACAACCTTAGTATCCTAAATCTCATTTGCTCCTGCTGCTGTTCTTCACCTGAAGAATGCAATCCTGTTTGTCACATAATAATCACTTTCCCAACAGAGCACTGTTGTTTTAGGTAGTAGGGAATAAAGCAGCGGGACAGATGAACTCTTAGAAACAAAGATCCTAATTTCTTACAGCAAGGGACATTCTTCACTAAGCCTATTTGACTTTACAGATTATACCCTCCTGGAGTCCCACAGAGTAATACATGAATGTTAGAAAAGCACCCATGTCAAAACGCTATTTCGTCCAAACATGGTGGGGGGTGTAGTGCAGGGATAAAGCCAAGGCCTCTCAGGTGTCACTCAAAATAATTGTTAGTGTCTACTAACAGGACAACATTCACTGGAAATAATAAAATATCTCTAGAGTCATCCTTATTAAGCCAAACTTAACAAGAATTTGCAGCAGACAGTGGCTGTAGAAGTCATTAATAAAAGTCCCTCTGACCTGGAGGAATGCCAACCCATGGAGGATGAGTGGTTTATCTTTCCTCTTTGGTGTAAGTGCTTTCATATTTTTCCAACAGTGTGAACAGTTTCATCCTCTTATCATTGACACTATTGTCCTTTCCTCCTTTCCCTTTTTGTCCAACTTTCTTAAAAAAACTCAGTGAAAACCAAGCCAAACCAAACAAAGAGAAGAGAAAACTAAAGAACGAACACAACACAGCAAAGTGTTAATTAATCATTGGAAAGATACAAATTAAAATATCTCCCTCAGTAGATAAAATATATTCTCTATTTTTTTCATTAGAAATGGAGTGGCTCCTTAGCAGACGTGATAAGGATGATCACAATGCATATAGGTCAATTTAAAGTTTAAAAAGTGTTCTTTGTGCGTCTAAAGCTCTTGACATCTTCTGAGACCTTAAATGCTGACCAATAAATGTTAATTCTAAATTAAATGTCCCTGGAGAGAACTACTGACATATACTTAAAACTTTCCTGGAAATTTCCATGTTTGATTCAACTGTTAATTTTTTTTTTTAAATCCTTAATAGTATCCACTCATAGCAAATACTTAAGAGATAGGTTAGCTCAATGCTAGAGGATCAAGCTAAAAAGTTCAATGTGTCATCCTGGAAGTAAATGGTGGCAGGAAGATCCTGATGAGAGAACAGCTGAATATGCACAATTTTATAACCATTTTAGTAAATATATTTAATGCGGCAGCAAATTTTCTTCACTTACAAAATGTAGCTAGTGATTTTTAATATCTACTCTTTCTTTCTAAGGCTTAATAAAAGTAGTCTGACAAAAGTCATAAGTGCATTTACTTTCATTATGAAGAAAATCAGGTGAACAACAGCTAAGTGAATTGCACCAGATAGGAATTGCACTCTCACTGGGACAGAAATGGTGAGAGCTTGCACAGCTGTGAACATCTGGGACATAGGGTACTTAACAAAGACCATCTTCATATTAACTCCTATAGTTCCTAGCATGTAGACAGCACATTCAAAAAATGTTAGTTGAAAAGAATAAACAATGAATAAAAGAACTATGAGGACTTTCAGGAATTTCAAGAAATTATCTGTATTCATTTATTGGTAGCTTGTTTCCTTACTAGATCAAATCTCTGAGAAAGCCAGAACTTTATCTGACTTGTGTCTAGTGCCTACAATAGTGTGCCCAGTTCAGTGACTTATTTGCAGAGTGTGTGTGTGTGTGTGTGTGTGAGGGGGGAATAGTTCTTAGTTGGAAAAATTAAAGACTTTTATTCAACTTTGAATTTAGTACAATATGCCTATTTATCTAAGTATTAAATGGATAGCTTTATAAGATAGAATAAATCCACATGAATATACAGAAATTTTCAATGATCAGCATACTGTCTTTTCTAGGTGTCTGGTTAAGGTTTGTGCCATAGCAACTCCTGACCACAGGACCACTAAACAAGGAAACTCCATAAAGCAGTAAGACTAAAAAAAAAAGTGATTATTTTTCCTTTTCCCCTTCTATTGTCAAAAGAGGTTTGACAAAATATAATGGGTGGAAAATTTAGGTTTTAGGCAAAGTAATAATCCTTAAATTAAAAAGGATTAACATATAAAAAATATTTATCTTTTGAAAGTGGCAGGAGTTAGAAGTCAACAGAGAGAGGGAGATCGATTTTACTTTTGCTTGTCAAAGAATCAAAATAAAACTGGCAATATTTGCAGTATCTCTGCAACAAAATTCAAGGTGTATACATGTAAACAAGAAAGAATATTAGCTGAATTTAAAATGATAATGTATTTAAATTTACCTGACACAGTATTTAAAACAAATTAATCATTGGGAAGGGGTATTTAGAAGGTAAAAGAAAAACAATTTTGTACCAATATTTCACCCAAGGCTTTGAATTTTCATCTTTTAACCATAAATGAGCATGTGTTAGTTCAATACTATATTAAAATACTTAAGGTGCACAGAATAAATTAATAACTATTTTGTAAGCTGATGAGGAAACACTTCAAAATTGCACTAGGGTTTCATGGTTTTGGCTAAACTAGAACCATTTATTCTTAAAGATCAGTTAAGTACCATTTTGGATATGCTTCCATAAAATAATTATCCCACAGCACTGAAGACTGCATGAGACCCATCAATTTCAACTCTAGGAGTCCTTCCTGAACTTATATGCACATAGCAATAACTCTTTGACCCCCATATTTTCATACTGCCCGTCAGCCATGGTGAATCCAAGCTAAAACACCAAATTCAGGTAAGTTGAGAAACTAGAACTAAATTAGGGCCACAACTAAGCCCTTTGCTCTTTCTCCTAGGTGGGGTCTGCTGATTCTCAAGAGCACAGAAGTCAGGTTAAATAAAGAAATGAGGCTGAGGGCTTGACTGGCCATAGGCAAACAAGTGACACAAAGAGATTACCACCAAAGCAACCTTGGTTGCTTTGCTCAGTAACTTCATGTAACCTCAGTTCTATTTTAAAGTGCTTTTTCATCAGCATACAATATTAATTTATTCTATACATATTAAATGCTGTAATGTAGTAGTAAGCTAACATTTATGGTTAAAACATGAAGATTCAAAAATCTGTGTGAAATATGACTGCTTAGTTAGTGGCTTAAAACAAAACACTAGATTTGGCCATGTCCATACTAGCCACTACCTAATGATCAATGTGGTCAGACATTTTATAATAATATCAGAATTCTATAGTTCTGAAATAATCTTATGATATGTTATGGGCAACCATTACAACTAGTTCAGAGCCATTTTATTTTTTGTTATGTTTTTAAAAGATAATTTCTTTCCAACTTACTCTATTTCCATAGGCCAACCAATACAATTGCCTTTCTTACACAAAGAAAAAAAAAAAACTTGTTGCTTATACATAATGAAATTTAATGTAATAAGCAGAGACACGACTTTTGTAATCAACTTTCTTTAACCCCAACTAGAGAACATTTATGATATCTCTCAATTTCAACTTATCAACAATCCTATAACAATTTCAAGTCTATTTTCCAGTTTATTAATAAGAATACTAAACAGTAAGATTTCCAGTAAATTTACTGAAGGATTATACTAAACATCCTTTCCTAATCTGACCTAAGACCATGCATTTGACTTTCCTAGGCACACAATGTATTGTCCACGTCAGAACAAAAATTAAGTAATCCAGTTGTTCTTCATTATTTGATCCTAAAAACTACATTATGAATATGCTTCAATATTTACACAGGTTTACATAGAATAAATTTCTATAATAATATGATTTGTATAGATCCTTTGCATTTAAAATGGAGAATTTAAATTACCACATTTAGAATGGAAAAGAGGAATTAATTAATTGTAGGGTGCTTATGGGTTTCCATAATCAGTGATTACATTATGTCCTTTAAGGCTTAATTTTTTACTGCTTAAAAGATATTGAAAAAAATAACAATCTGTAATAATATTTCTATACTGAAACACAAACACATGCATACATGTAAGATTTTAGAAAATCATACTAAATCTATGATGACAATGTTTGACATAAAATAATAAAAGCTTAATATTCTGCTTTCAAATAAAAGGGACTACCCTATTCCATACATGACACACACTCATACCTAACATGAATTTCTCTAACGGTTCTTTTTAATATATAAAGTATTTTATAGACAATATTTCTTTTGTTTCTCTCATAAGGCCTAGATTATGGTTAATATCTCATGGCACCAAAAGTAATACTGCAACAGATATTAAAGCATTTTTCAGCCACTTATTCTATAAAATATTAATTGTAAGCCTGTGCATGTGCTGTTTATATAGGGGATTAGGTAACTGAGTTCCTGCTCAGTTCTAAATCAATAAAAGATAACATGCAGAGCATCAATCATCATTCTCTCTTCCTTTAGTACATAATAACTGCAGGTGGAAGATTTTAAAAATATGTATTTAAGTACTCATGGAGCTATTACAAACTAGAGAGGATGTGAGAAATACTTACCTAGGAAGGACAGGTTTTTCTCTAGAAGCAAGTCTCTCAGCAGTACTTCATGCTCATGACCAATGGCACTGGGAAGTTTTAGTTAAAGAGGATAACATAGGCACATTTATACCATCGGGAAAATGCTAATACCAGGTACATACTTTGAGATGAAATGAAGAAGAGAGGTAATTATAACAATTTCCATCTGTAGCCCACATCTCTGAGGAATGATATTTCTTCTTATTTACCCCCCCCCCATTTAAATGATCCAAAGGAATTTTTCTGTTTTTATATTTTGGCAAAGATTTATAAGTGGGTATAATTTTAAATTCTTTTAAAAAGAGGGAAAATCATTTAACATGTCCATTAATCTGTGTTATTCCCCACTTCAATTTAGAACACATTAATTAAGCACTTACTTAGTGCAGTTAAGAATATTAACCTGGTTTTCCCTAAAAATGGTTCCAATCTTACTGTGCTCTGTAAATCTTAAGAATTCACATGTGTCACTAAGCCAGCATTTAGTAGTCTGTTTTGTTTCCCTTCAATTGTTGGTGATTCCCTGTGACTAGAGAAGCCAAACAACTGACTTAATGAGACTCTATGGAGTAGATATTTTAGGAGATGACTGTGGGTGAGTATGCATTTAGAGGCTTTCAAAAATCTTTTTCTCATGTGTATATATGTGTGTGTGAGTGTGTATCATATATGTGTACATACATAGATACAGACATGAACATACAAATTGTTTTAGTGCTTCCTAGGTGGCAGGCACTGAAGTAAGTGATTTATGTATATGTTGTTTCATCCTCACAATTATTATAAGTTTTATTTTATAGATGAGGAAACAGACTGAGAAATGAACCTGCACAAGGCCAGTTAAAACATGGCAAAGAATGAAAATGAGATCTTTGAAAAGCTAGTTTATAGCTCCATATAGCTTCTTAGAAAGTATTAAGATTATGCAAAGATTCATAGCTGCTAGTATTTCTTAAATATCATGTATGATAAGCACTTTCAGGGCTGGGGATGTGGCTCAAGCGGTGGCGCGCTTGCCTGGCATGCGTGCGGCCCAGGTTCGATCCTCAGCACCACATACAAACAAAGATGTTGTATTCGCCGAAAACTAGAAAATAAATATTTAAAAATTCTCTCTCTCTCTCTCTTTAAAAAAAAAAGATAAGCACTTTCAGATATAATTTTATTTAATCTTCACAACAACCACATGAGTAGATGCTATTATTAGTCTCATTTTTACACTTAAGAAAAGGTAAGGTTCAAAATGGCTGAGGAACTTGTTGAAGGCCCCAAGGCTGGTAAATAATGAAATCAGGAAGCAGGACTTGGAAGTCTGGTCTGTTTTCCAAAGTGATGAGAGTGAACAAAATCTGAAAAGGAATCTTAGCCTATGCTGGTACTAATTTCAGTTGAAAGCATCTGGCAATCATTCTCTGAATCATTACTGTCATACTCTATGTTTTGCTGGTTACATCAATCTGGTTCTATCACACCTTGGTTTACCAGAGACTACTGTTCTGACCATAGGCTGCAAGAATTCATTTCAATGTAAATCAAAGAAAAGTTATACTTCACTTGTAAAAAATAATTCCTAGAGAATTATCTTGCCTTTTACCAACATATATGGGTATCATTTAAAATGTATAATTCAGAAACTGTGGTCATTTATGTCCACCATCAAGGCAAGCCCTAAGTCTTCATTTATGCTTTTTTCTTCCTGTTGTTTTATCCTTTGCCTTGGGACATGGCTATGCTTCTTGAATTTCTAATTGGAAATAAAAGGAACAAATTTTTAAATCACAAAATCTAACACATTTTCAGAGGCCACTGAAAACATTTGATGAATAACTCTCAACACTCTCTCGTTACCATGGGCATCCCACATTTTAGAACTAAATTATTTACTTCTATTCCACATAAATGCGCTCCCACTTTGATTGTTGTAAATTATTTACATCTAAAATGTTGAATCATGAAACTGAGGTTACTGATGGTACAGAAATGAAACCCACAGCACTTGAGGCTTCCTGCATCATTATATTTTCTTGCATCTCTATGCAGTCCTCTATCTGTTAGTGGGGTCTGGAGTCACACTTTGGAAAGTTGAAGTGGTTACCTTCTCACATGTTTTCCTTGGTGAGTTGAGATAAGGTAGGAAAGGTGTGGGTGGGCATGGCTAGCTAGGAAAAAAACAGCAGGCACATCCTCCCAAAATAAGGGAGACAGAAAGAGAAAGCACAATGTCAATGCATACACTCACTGCTACTATCCCTTCCATGGTGTCTTATTAGTCAATGACCAAGGTACTTTATTCTATTTACACAAACGTTCACATATAACATTTTCATAATGGAATAAGAAGATTTTACACCTATTCCTTTTACCAAATATGTACTTTCTCTGTTGGAAAACGAAGTAATTTACTGAAAGTAAGTACTGTAAACATTACCAACTTATAAGAATAACAAATAAAAGCATTTTTCACTCACATGGAAAACTAATAATTCTTATTCAGTGTGAAATAAAGTACTTCTGTTGATCCGTCTAGAAGACATCTTAGCAAGCATATTCACATTACATGAAATTGCTACTACTTCAATGCAACAATAAAATCAGTTTCTCTATAAATTTCCTAGGCCTGTTTTATTTTGCAATAGTAAAAGCAATCACCAATTTGAAATTTTGGAAAGACATACTTCTTGATTATGCATTGCTTGATATAAACATATATAAAATGGAAGGTCTAGAAAATAAACCTTATAAAAATAGTAATTTTACTGACAACAGGCATAATGGAACTGCAAAATAATAATCTAGTTGATGAATGCAACTTATAGACATACATCATTATCTTTATCAATTGAAATCACGTACTACATTAACTTCTACTGGCAATAACACAGCCAAAAAAGGAAAGTGAATGATAGCAAAAACATAAGGAAAATACTCCAAGCAGAATTTATAATGTTCCATAAGCAGAAACACTTAGACTTTGTCTATAAGAATACCTATTATTGATGTATGGCAGTGACCATGGGGCAAAACTTGTAAATAACCTCACAAGCCATTTTCTTCGCCAGCAATACAGCAATCTAGTTTCCCGTAAGCATCTCAACTATTACTGAAAAATAGCCTCCTGGCATTTACAAAGCAGTTGACTTCATACTTTAGTCCATGCATATATAATTAGATAGTTATATTTAAAATCAATATGCAATCCTTCAAAAGACATTATGCTTTTAAAACCTTAACTTTAAATTGATTTTTAACTATTTTATGCGCTTTAAAATTAACATGTAATTCAGCCCCAGATACTCTCAGACGGTGTGAGTTGTTTTACGAATGTGCTAAGCTTTATCACTACAGCAACATGAGGTTGGCACTCCTACAATTTCTAACACTACATTAATATCACACTCAAAATAAAAATATAGTTTCACTTTAGTTAAATAAAAAGGCAAGTGTGTGTGTGTGTATATATATATATATATACACACACACACACACACACACACCCACTCCCCCCCACACATATAAATACACATATGAATGAGGCTATATGTTAGGTATTAAATATTCTTGTAAGAGGGCCCTGTTAAAAAAGATTACTTTCAAATCTTAATTTAGGAAAGAAAGAATTTTCTTATCATAGTTTTACTGACTCTAAGCCTTTGTGAAACAAGGAGGAATATAAATACACACACACACACATACACACACATACACACAAAAAAACACACGCATGCACACAGATGCATGTGAACACATTTAACTTGCAAGAGCTTCCAACAAAACCCCTGACTAGTAATCATTCAGTCACACTGGTAATGGTGCCACCAATGCTAACAAAATCTAATGATAGCCATGTTTATAGTAAGAGGTATAAGACTCATAGACTGAGATATTTCCATTAAAATTATGAGCATTTAAATAGTATTTTTAGTCAAAAATTACCAAAATTCTCACTGTTGCTACAAGACTACCAAAACATTAATTAGTAATGTCCTGGTTCATGAAACGGTTATCATCCACCCAATCCTACTTTGAGAAGTAAACACTAACTCTTTAGAAATCTCAATGTTTTTAATGAAGAATGACTAGACATCTGTTTTCACAGCCTTAAATTCAGTCCCCAGGGAAAAATTAGCATGGTTTCTCTAAAAATGTTTATTAGGGATCCAAATGACAGCTCAGATAGTAATCAGCATTTAAGCAATAAGAGTCTACTGCCCTTTAAAATGTGATGGTCTCCAGCAACATATAAATAACATCATCCTTTAACTCAAGGCTCAAAATTTATTTTAGTAAACTCTACAGAATTTGGCTCCTTTTCAATGGAACTTTGTTATATTTTAAAAAATGTTCACAGGAATGGTTAGCTACATTCCAAGACAGTATGTTACCTGCCTAATGACTCTGTACCTTTAAACTCATTGAAAACCAAGCAGTTTGAAATCAGCATGTGAGTGCAACTGCTGAACTGACACCTTCCTGGGGCTTATCTGGTTTCCCTTAAGCTGTAGGAAAGAATGGTCTGCAATGACCCTCCAGCTGATTGAATATAAAAGAGTATGAAATGTGTTTTGTGAAGCAGAACTTTATGTCAGGTTAAAGCTAGACACATCTCTTCTACTGAGTCTAAGCTCATCAATTGTGCACCTAAAATTTTATGGGAAAGGATACTGTTTGATGCAGTCCACCAGTGGTCCATAACAGCAGTCGTTCACAATGCACTGCAGACAAATAAGAGAAAGGGTATGTGTGTGTGGAGTGGGGTGGGGGTTCAGTGGGGGGGGGGGAGACTACAAAAACTATTACAGTAAACATCCTAAAAGCAGTAATTACTTCTCTTTCCCCCATCCCCAAAAAAGAATGCTATCAAAAGGCTGTTCAGATTTAATCACAGAAAACAAAAATTGCATGCTTTTTATTTACTATAAAAGCAAGCTATTAAAAAGTGAAATGCTCTTCTCACAAATATTGCATTGCCATTTATGGTGCACCCTGACCTCAGTGATAGTTTATGATGACAGTAATTAAATGAGGTTTAAAATCCTTTACTCTGCTAGGCAGATAACAGCATTGCCACTGAAAATAGACAGCTGTGATTAATACCTGATAGACCTGATTTGCTAGAACTCCATCTGGAATCTGAGAAGGGTCCCGTAGCATACTATTTATAACAGACTTGGAAGCTGTAGAAGAAAAGAGATGAACTATTAGCAGACAGTCAACATACTTTCAATGCAACATGAGAAGTGACAAATACCTACATACACACAAACCATGAAAACAAAAACATTACTCATTATAATCATTTTCCCTTTTTTTAATATAAGGGAAGTTTTTAATTAGACCATGTTGCCAAGTTTATAAGCCACATCGCCAGATTTGATGATGACCTAATTTTTCCAAGGTAAATGAACAAGTACAGACCTAAAGCATATGTCTCTTTGAAGATAAATTAGCTTTGGAAAAGCCCACTTGAGGAAAAAACAACAACAACAACAAAAATTAAAAAGCAAAACAAAAACAAAAGAAAATATTTACCTTTTACGGGTAGGTATTTTATAACCAAGCATATGCACATGTAAAGCTTAGTAAAGGCAGGTCAGACTTAAAGACTTCAATGGTGTCAATAAAAATAAATTTCAGCTATCTCTGAATATTAAACCTTTTCAAAATAATTCTCATCAATTGCTGTAAGATGTTACATACATCCCACAGAGTAGTAAAGTTGATGACACTAGTTGACAGTTGAGGGAATTTTAAATAAGAAAAAAAAATTGGGGGTATGTGTATATTCATGTATATATAGTTGTTTCTTGATTCTCTCAGGGATTGGTTCCAAGATCCCCTGATGGATACCAAATTCCACAGATGCTCAAGTCCCTTATACAAAACCACATAGTATTTGCATATAACCTATGCACATTCTCCCATATACTTTAATTCATTTCTAAATTACACATAATATCTAATACAATGTAAATTCTACGTAAATAGTTGTTTTACTGTATTGTTTAGGAAATAATGACAAGAAAAAATGCACAGCAAAGATGCAATTTTTTACTTCACATATTTTCATTGGTGATTGCTTGAATTCATGGATACAGAGTCTATGGCTACAGAGTATCCACCTTGTGTGTATACATTTTATACACACACAAATTTTCCACCTAAAATATGCCTCATTCACTTGAAAATTATCCTGGACTCCCAGGGATATACAGCAAAGCATTAAGAAAGGTATCTAGTGAAGAATGTTATGTGAGGTGATATCCTTTGAAAAGCAAGGTCAGAGACCTTGTCACTTGCTCACAGTGGGCATGTAGCAGCCCAGGTGGCCAGAGTTCCTCTTAGTATATGGGAGGAAGACAAGTTTCTAAACAAGCTAACAATCAATTCTAGCAAAGTCTTACAGAGGCATCTTTCCCAAATATTTAACAAAATGGCTTAGGATCTGACCCACACGAGCACAAACTGAAAAACATGTTGTATAAGTATCTAGTTAAAAAAATGAACACAGATCACAGATCTCCATCACTTAAATTCTGAGCTGATTTTTGTTCTAACATTTTCTTTATCAAGTTCCCTGACATAGGAACACTAATAGATATAATAAAGGCTAGTAAATACTGTGGAAAGAAATAAGGAAATTTACATCTTACATAAGCACAGCACTGAGTCTTCAAAAAAAATCAAGTAAAATTATTTAAGTTATTGCCTACTGTTAATTACATGACTGCATACTTACAGGAACACTTGTGTACTTAAGAATCATTTGTAAACATGTGCTTGCTCCGCACTTAAGAGAGGCCATATCGAATCACAAAGAGAGCCACACCAGTCATCCTACCAAGCCCTATCTCTACTTCCAACTCCCCAACCTAGGCAGGTAATGCAGACACAACTTGTGTCTTCACCTATAGGAAGTGATGATATTATTCAATCCAACAAAAAGGGTTCCAGTGTGAGTCTCTGGAGAAAGGAGCTAAATACCATATTGTTAAATTTAAGTAATACTGAGAAACAAATCACACTTATGCATTTGTATCTGAAAACTTAGGCTGTACCTAATTACTTCGAAAAGAAATTACCATTGATAAGTGGTACAAATACTGAGCATATGAAGCAGCAAATCATCATCTTACAAAGGAACACATTATGGCAGCAATAGTATTAAAGAGATAATAATGTGCTTGGAAAACATGCCTCATTTCTCCAACCTAATTCTAAGGCCTGGCCTTTTGGAGGAGATCAAAGCAATTGTTCACACATTTGGTTACCTTCTCTGAGGCTACTCAAGGGTCTCAAGGAAATACTAGCCCCTTCTCCAAATATACGTAATTGTGGCTGAGGTGCTCCACTGCAAACTCTCACATCATATGAGGAAAAGATTACTGATATTTTAATGGTTAGACAGCATGTTCTGAAGTGCTATCTTATGGAAAATTACTGACCTCATGACAAATTATATGCAAATTCATTGCTAAAATCTTTAAACTAAAGCTCTTTTTAAAAAAGACTAGGGATATTATCCTAGGACATAAAATTATTGGGTCATTTGTTTTGAGGGAAGAAAAGGAACTATCAAAAGATAAAAGAAACTGATGACATAATTTTCCTCACAATACAAATTTAAAACAGTGTGCTTATCAGGAATAAGAATTATAACCAATAAATTTTTAAAAAATAGTTCGAATTCACTGAGTAGGATACTATTCCAAAGAAAGTTAGTTGTTTTAAATGGAATGGTAAAAACTACATATTGAGTACATATACATTTTAAATTTAATAACAAGTCTTTTTTCTTCTTTCCAACCTGGCATTTTTTAGAGCAAGAGAGAAAGCTCTACTACAAAGTCCAGGACTCTGCTGCAGACCCAATGCTGGCCTGCCTTCCACATGTGGCTGTTTCCATTCAGTCTTCACAAAACAATGCCTGTGTCTCAGACCTGGCCAGAAAACACAAACATACTTTTACTCACATATTCTGAAGTTTAGGAATTGCCATCTCAAAGGGATGAACAATAACATCTACCAGAAAAGTAAAGGCAGACTCTCAACTCCAGTGTCTCCATCTGTAGGAAGTGATTATAGCATTTAAGGTAACTTAATAAATTACTAACAATCTTTGAGTGGATGCCTTTCATGGTCCCTGTCCCTAGGCTGTTTGTCAATTTGCGTTCAGTTTTTTTTTTTGACCACATAGGGACAAGAGTCCTGTTCTCCCTAGCTTTCGCTAGAAGTACTCATTCTATTGCTTTCACACTTTTGCCCTGATAACTGCTTCAACTGACTCTATTTCTCATTTCTAACAAGGATATACAAAGAAGAAAATGTGAGTCACTTGGAATTAGATCCATGAGAAAAGAAGTGGTATCTGTTAAATCACGCTACAGAAGACAGGCAATAGCTAATGCATGGACTAAAGCACAATGCCTAAGATTACATGTTTTCATTGTGAAATACTTCTAATATGAACAACTACAAACATTCATCCACCACCCTAATCTAACTTCCAGATCTGCAATCAATTTACTTTAGATGGTCTAATATAGCATAAACTTTTTTTTTTAAATTAGTCTTGCTAGAAGGTGGATTTATTTTACTAGCATTTTCAGGAAATCAAAATTTGGCTTTGTTGATTCTTTCTACTGTGCCATTTCTTTTAATGCCATTTAATTTATCTTTTCTTATCATTATGTCCTGTTTTCTACTTTGAGTTGAGTACCTTATCTTTTTGTTACTATTTTCATAGTAATGTGCAATTCTTTAACATTTTTAAGACTATAATTTTTTCCTATAAATTTTGCTTTAACTACATGCTATAAGTTTGTCATTTATTTACAAATATTTTTAGCTTCCATTATTATTTCATCTTTGATCCACAAATTACTTAAAAACATTTAAATTTTTGCCATTCTAATTCGTGATGTTTATATCAATATGGAGTGTGTGTTTGGCTTCCTCTGTGTTTTTTTTTATGTAACAGATTTTTAGAAACATGTTTTTAAACAATTGAAATTTCTATTTTTGAAATATAAAGTTCATATGTCTAGTAGGTAAAGAGTTTTAATTGTATTATTCAAATCTTCTGCATCCTTATTTTTCCAAACTAGATATGAAACAATCATCTGCTCCTATTCTGGATTTGTCAATCTCTCCTTATAATTCTCCCAGTACTTGCTTTCTCTATTTGGAGGCTAGATTTTGACTGTTATACATATAATTCGTGGTAAGTATACCTACTGGTAGTAAATCATGACTCTAATAAAACTTTTTCTTAAATTTGATGTTACCAAGTGGTAATACTCTTCACCACTTTTCTTTTGGATAGTATCTGCCTCATACATCTGATGTTTTGATTCTTTATCTTAAAATTTATTGTCAACATGTCTGAGGTATGACTCTTAAAACAGCATTCACTGAGATTTACTAAAATCCAATTAGAAAACTCTACTTTTTAAGAAATGACTTTAATCTATTTATATTCATTGTGACTGACACATTCAGACTTATCTTTGTTTTTATTTTTTACATTCTTCTACATATTCTTTCTTCCTCTTTTTTCTTTTCTACTTTTAGTTAATTTTTATTCACCCTTTCTCCCTTAATTCCCTCGAAAGTAATATACTCTACAAGTTTTGCTTTAGTAGTCCTCTCAAAAAAATTTTTAAACAGAATCAATATCTAATCTTCATCATTCTGCACATAAGGAATTTAGAAAGCACTCATTCCTATTAGGAAGCCTCTGGTTCCCACCAGCCTTCATGCTACTGTGCCTACTATTTTTGTTCAATCATCTTGTTTCTAAGACAGGTCTCCAGTTGTTAGTCTCTTGATATTTAATTTTATCCCGTCAACTTGACTGTGCCAGGGATGCACAGATATTTGGTCAAACATGATTCTTGCTTTATTTGTGAGAAGGTTTCTGGATGACATTAACATTTGATAGTACGTGATTTCTCTATATACATAATCTACTACCTACCTACCTGCCAGCCTGCCTACCTACCTTCCTATATATCTTTCCCCATGGAAGTTGGTTACCTCCTCCCTTTATATGTAAATTATTACTACGAACATATTTTCAGCAAGAATTGTCTAGTTGCCATGCACTGTGAAAGGAGCTATGACATAGTAGTTTCATCTTTACTTCTATAGAGACCAGTTTTATTGTTAATTTCTT